TGTGCTGTTTCATTGTGCTAAGATTTTTTTCATGACTCATCATTTATTCCATCTCTCCTAAGAAGATGATATGAAAATAGAAGAATGATGGAATCACATAGAAGGGTGATAGAATATGGAAGAAAATTGTCACTGTTGCATCATTTTTTTAGTTTTTATTTTAATTTTTTTGTATTGCCCCAGTTATTACATTCTATTTCAAGAAGTTATGAAAGAAGCCTGGAGACACCATCTTTGTAGGCTGTTTTTAGTATTCGTTGAATGCAGTTGAGAATTCAGAAATTTTTGTTTCTGTGCATAATGGCAAAGAGAAGAAAAACGACAGCGGAAGATGTTTTACATCTCTTTGACAAATCAGCAGATGAAAGAAGGGAAAAATAGTACTCCAGGTCCAAACCAGCATTGTTTAATAGAAATATAATGTGAACCACAAATGTAAACCATATAAGTAATTTAAAATTTACCTTACAAAAGTAAGCAACGAAAATAGTGTCATTGAGGAAAACAGGAAATATTTAGAATTCCTTTTAGGAACTAACACCCTGTGGGACAAACTTTGCTGGATCTCTTCTGTCTCTTTTTTGGCACTGGTCAGATAAACACTCTCCCTTCCTCTTCTCCCATGCATTCACCCCAAATAGGCCATGTTTTCTTGTGGCTCTGTGTAGCTTGGTTAACTTACCAGCTTGTGTTTGCTTTATCTCGTTATATGCCTTACTTTGCTTTCACTTCTTCACATTTCTGCCATTGAACTCTCCGTTCCCAAAGTGTCAACTTGTCCCTTTGTCTCAGGCTGTCTTTTCCAGCTGAAACAATGGCTTCCAGACTTCTTTGACCACAACCTATAGTAAGAAATATATTTTATGTTTTGACCCAGTACACACATGCACACTCATAAACACATATCTGAAACAACAGCTTTGGGAAATACCCTTATCATTACTAGGTGTTTTGTACTCTAGCTTTTTTTCCCTATCCTGTTTCATGTTAAAAATGCTGGTTATAACCCACTATATTGCCCAGCCAATTGTAATTTTGTTAGGATATTGATGTATTGTTCTCCGTAAGTTTGTACCAATTTATATTCCCACCAACAATGTATGAGAGTAATATCAAAGCCGATATTATTAAGTGCTTTGAAAATTCTCTTGCTTATGTGACTAATAGTGTCCTCAAACTTGAACAATACCTGTCCTGCCTGGGAACAGTATCTTGTGCTTTAACTCAACTCCTTTTACAGTAGTAGTAAGAGAGGGAGAAAGAAGCCTGTGGGTTAGTTGAACTTTGTGGGATTCCGTCTTGATTTATCTATAATGTTTTGATTGTGTCTCTTTGAATAGCTTTTTTGTAGTTGCTGTACATATTGTATTATTTATACATAATTTATTACAGTCTACTAATTGTTAAGTCCCTTTACTCCCAATTCTAATATAATTGCCTTTTGTATTTTCTTTACATACATTGAGAACCATATCACACACAGTGTTATAATTTTTGCTTAAACCATCAAAAATAATATAGGAGACTTAAGAAGAGAAGAAAAGTCTATTGTATTTACCCATATTCTCTTTCCTTTCTTCCTTCCTGATTTTCCAGTGTTCCTTCTTTTATCATTTCCTTTCTGTTTGAAGAATTTCCTATAGAATTTTAGGGTAGGATCTCCTGGTGAAAATTCTCTTAGTTTTCCTTCATCTGCAGATGTTTTAATTTCCCTCTCGTTACTGAAGGATATTTTTTCTGGATATAGGATTCTGGGTTGGCAGTTCTTTTTTTTCAGCACTTGAAAAATGCTTCTAGGAATAAAAAATATGAATATGGGGGCCGGCCCAGTGGCGTAGTGGTTAAGTTCGTGCGCGCAGGTTTGGATTCTAGGCACAGACCTATGCACTGTGTATCAAGTCATGCTGTGGCAGGTGTCCCACATAAAATAGAGGAAGATGGGCACGGATGTGAGCTCAGGGCCAATCTTACTCAGCAAAAAAAAAAAAAAAAAGAGTATGAATTGATGTTTAAAATGTTTATTAGCTGTGACCATAGTGGTCTAACTGTTAAAGAAAAAATTTTCTTTTAAATTATAATTACTATGAGTACAACATAAATATATTATTAATTTTGTTGATTAAACAATTATAAATACATCTCTTCAGAGGGGACTGCTCTTTTCATGGAATTATGTATCCAGGGATGAATATTACTTGTGTTAGAATGAGAGTGGTTTCAGTGGAAATTAATAGTAAAAAGAAAAGATATTGGCTCATTAGTAAGTGTGAGATATACAAAAGATTTATTGAAATTTTTGTTAGGCATATCATTTATAGTAGAATTTATAGTATATTACTGTTAAATTTATCTATATCTAGTAAGTCTATGTAGGAATGAAAAACTGAGCAGAGAAATGGATAATAGCATGGGACAAGAATGAAGACCTGTCCAGGTCAAAAAATACATACATATATGGATTTACTGTGTCCAGTAATTTTTTGACAAAAGTTAATAAAAATATTTCTCAATAAATGTTCAAGAAAATATAAAATGGTAACTTAACTTCGGTGTATGTTACTTTTACTTGAAGATATGACATTGATTTGACAGAGGTAAGGGCTCTTTTCAACTCCTTGGAATTATGCAAAATATCAAGTTATAGACATACAGGTGATTGACAGAATGTACTAATTTCTTTCTCATTTCTCAGAGAATAATGAAAGTACAGATCTTGAATTCTAAATAATTCTAGATAAATATGTAAGGAATCTGGCCATAAGCTTTTCACCTGGCTGAACTAAGTTGTAGCTGTCTTCAATATTTATCATCACTGTTTTCATTGGATTCTTTCTCAGGTGAGCTTCTTAATCAAATATTTTTATTATTCTCCTGAAGTTTTAACAACCCATCAGGTCCAAAATACCTGCTTTTTGTGTCAGGTATTGTCTTTAGCAGAATTGTATAGGACAGGGAAAGACAAGACCACTTTGGATATATGGTGCCTCCTTTAAAGGATACTCCTCTGATATCAGTATTTCAAATGATTCCTTTGATTGGTGTGCTGGATGTTTCTACAACTCAGAGAAATGCATTGTAGTGAGATGTTAGATGTGTGAGAGATGTATCTTTCTCTTATGAACTGGAAAAAGGAAGATTATAAAATAGAGTGTAGGAAAGGAGAAAACCAGCATGATACCTGACCTTGTTATTAATTCTAGTAACTGGTTGGTAACTATGGAAATTAAGGATCTGGAAATTGATTCCCTGAAAACCATCTGGTCCCCACTGTGAAGACTGCTGGATTAAGGTTTGATCTTTTGTCACTAGATTATAGTTTTGAATCTTCTGCTATGTAATTTTTATCTACTTTTTATTTAATTCCCTTAAGGACCTTCATCATTGTGCAGTGATTACTGCTACTTCTCTGTGCTTTCTTTGAGCAAGGATTCTTTTCCATTCTTTCTGCCCATGCTCCTCAGTGGAGCAGTCTTTTATTTTTCCTCTTCCTCCTCCTTTAACATGTGTATATTTTTTATTCACAATCCACTCCCCTGAGGTTTTGATTTTATTCTGTTGCATCAGATTTTGTCAGTGTGGTTGTTGGTTCTTCGTTCATTCCGAAAACTTAGGATATGTTGCAAAAATGTAATTGCCAAGGGGTATCAATCTTCACTGTATTTCAATGACTAAAACTCTGTGAGGGCAGGAATTTGGTGTGTTTTCCTCACTATGGGATGTGTAGAACCTATCCTAGTGAGTGATTGAATGAACAAGGAACAGAATTTCCCCAACTCTTTCCTTAATAAAACTGCTATTTAAAAAAGAAATAACCAAATTAATGTTGTAAAGTCTTTTATTTTTGTTAATTGATATTTAAAATAGTACTTTTCTGATAGAAGGATAATTAAAATGCTTTTAATATTGTGCTAAGAAGTTGTTAACATTTCTGATCATTTTTATTTTAATTGTTAATAAAAATTAATGGCCATGATTGGACTGTTTCTTAAAATCATACTGGAAATATAGGGTAAGAAAAGCACCTACTTTGTAGGGATGTTGTGAGGATTGAATTAGTTACTACGTGTAAAGCACTTAAAACAGAGCTTCACACATACTGAAGTGCTTGTTAACTATTAATTAGTCTTTGAGAATGGTGCTGAGACTGACTTCTTCTCTATCATTCTGCAGAAGGGCCCATGATAGTTAGTGGATTAATTTATCTGTCCATAGGGAAGCTGGCTGTTGGCCCAGGGCAGTCTTCCCTCAGGTCCTTGCAGGAGCCCCTGAAAGGATCATCCTCCACAGGGACTTTCCCTCATCTTCTTTCTCAAGGGTCCTCCTCTCAGACCCTTGAGGGCAGGGGGCTGGGAAGAGTTTCAGAATGGCTGGTATATTGCAGTCAAGTAGTGAGGGTTTAAAATGGGCTCTGCCTTTTAGCTCTGTGTGACTCAGGGCAAGTTGCTTTACCTCTTACTTTCTTCTCTTGCCCATTTCATCTCAGAGAATGATCTTCTCATCCCTTTTCTTACTCTGAGCAGCCACACTGGACTTCTTTTACTTCCACACAAATGCCATATTCTCTCCTACATCTGGCCCTTTGAACATGCTGTTCCCTTTGGATGAAACACATTCTTTCTCTCCCCTCCCCCCTTGCTTTATTTGGCCAGATCCTACTCATGCTTGCATTAAATGTCTGTCCCTTACGAGGCCTTACCTAACCAATTCCCACCAGACTGGTTTGTATCTCTGCCATGCTTTCCCGTTTTACACCATGATGATTCTTAAAGCCTTTCATCCCATTTGGAGTTGCGCTACATACTGAGCTCCCACAGGGGTTGATGGGATCTGACATGTTCATTGCTGCATTCCTGATTCCTAGCACATAAGAGGTCCCAATTAATGATATATAGATGGATGGGGAAAAAATACTGGAGGTATTGTTACTTAGAATTTGGTTAACATTATTTCTACAGCTGTCTTTGTTTTACGGACTTTTTGTTTTATTTTTTCCTGTAAAGCTGCTGAAACTTAAGAAGCTGATTCTGTCACAATGTAAGATGCCTTTGGAAAATTCTACATTCCTCTTAGATGAATCTTTAGAACTTGATGAGTTTCACTAGATACCTTCAATCTTCATTTTGAGCTCAGAGGTATGCCATCTTTTTTTCTTTCTTTTTGCGTAATTAATGAGTACAGTGAGGTTTGGAATCTCCTGGCAAGGAGCATAGGACAAAGTATTATAAAAATATTTAGGGCGTGATCTGCTACCTTCCTTGATAGCTTTTATTTATCTTTAGAATTTTCATTCTTATGAGCAGTAAAAAGTTATTCATTGGCAAGATAATTGATATCCAGATGTAGAGTATTTTCTTTTCAGCAATTCCTGAAGTTTTTCAAAGTTACTGCTCAAAAGTAAGAATTATAATTTCTTGTTTTTTTCTGAGATAAAGGAAGATGATTTGCAAGTGACTGAAGGTAGAATAGGAATTATTTATTTCCTGTCAGATTTTAGATTTAGAGATAAAGAATCAGTTGACTGAGGTAAAGAAGGGCCAGTCACCTACTGCAGCCCCAGCTTACAAGCAAGTTCTCTCCATCAGAGGTCTGCACACTGTCAAATTCAGCCCACTGCCTGTTTTGGTTTGACCCATGAGCTAAGAATAGTGGTTACATTTTTAAATGTTTGGGGGGAAAAAATATCTAAAGAATACTATTTTGTAATGTGAAAATTATAGGAAATTCAAATTTCAGCATGTATCAATAAAGCTTTATTGGAACACAGCCACTCTTATTTTTTACATATTGTGTATAGCTGTTTTCAAGTTATAGTGGCAGAGTTAAGTAGTTGCATCAGAGACCTTAAGGCCCAGAAAGCCAAAAATATTTACCATGTGATCCTTTACAGAATAAGTTAGCTGACCTATGCTCCGCGGGGTTGAAGAAGTATTTATAGATTGATTGCTAAGGTTTAACAGATAAGTAGGAGGGAAATAGAGAGAGGTGAGAGTCGGTATCAACTCTCAGTGACTTATTTATACTCTTTTCTATCCTGGAAAGTGTAACCCATATTCTAATTAAACTGACTGTGTTGTTTTAAAATAGAAAATAAATCAAGAGAAATCATTCTCCTATTACTTTTCTTCTAAAATGAATGTATATGGGAGTTTGTAGAAAGAAAATTAGTATAGTACACTCAGTTTTTACTGGGTTTTAATGTTACCATAGTATCTTAAGCATTTAACAGATTGTATATACCTTTTGTACAGTTTCTGTTTTTTTCTGATGTGTGGGGATGACCTGTTATTTTTATTTTTTAAGTGAAAGTACGGGTATATTATTTGGAAACTAGGTGGTGACTGACTCAATGTAACACAGTTAATATGTTGAGTATGAAGGTACACGGCCCTTTTGGAGTCAATGGATAGGCTTGGAGGGTATTCTTAAGGAGCTCGTTTGCAGTCTGACACAGGTTAAGTCCTATATTAGATAAAAGACTATGATTTTAGTATGTATCTTTCTTGTCCCTCTGGAACACTTAATAGTTTTGTGACTTTGGGCACATTTACTGCTCTAAATCCTAATTGCTTCATTTCCAAAATAGGGAAAAATAATATCTTTTCTGTCTGAAAGCAGGAATCTTGGGTTTACTAAATTATAAGTTTTCTAAGGGTAGATACCATGCCTGTTTTTTTTTTTTTCTTGGTGAGGAAGATCGGCCCTGAGCTAACATCTGATGCCAATCCTCCTCCTTTTGCTGAGGAAGACTGGCCCTGGGCCAACATCTGTGCCCATCCTCCTCTACCCTATATGGGACGCCGCGCCACAGCATGGCTTGACAAGCGGTGCATCGGTGTGCGCCCGGGATCCGAACCCGTGAACCCCGGGCCACCGAAGCAGAGCGCGCGCACCCAACCACTGCACCACCTGGCCTGCCCCGTTGTTTTTGTTATTTTTGTGCGTGTGTGAGGAAGACTAGCCCTCAGCTAACATCCGTTGCCAATTCTCCTCTTTTTGATGAGGAAGATCGGCCCTGGGCTAACATCCGTGCCCATCTTCCTCTACTTTATATGGGACGCTGCCACAGCATGGCTTGATGAGCAGTGCATTGGTCCGCGCCTGGGATCTGAACCTGCGAACCCCGGGCCGCTGAGGCGGAGCATGCAAACTTAACTGCTACACTACCTTACTGGCGCCACCATGCCTGTTTTTTAAAGAGCTCTCAGAGGCCTGGCACATAGTTGGCACACAGTCAATGTTTGTTGAGTTAAAGAACAAGGTCTGTTGTAGCTCCAATAACTATTATGTCTATGCATGATCACAGTAATTCCAGTTTCTTTGAAGGTTTGCTTGCTGGGATTGGGTGTTTTTTGTTAACTGTCGAAGAGAATTTTGATGAAAACAGTTATTGTCTCTGGATCCATTCTTTACAGATAGCCATCAAATCATTGGCCAGATTATTGGGGCAGATTTATTTGTCTAGGTTGATTATTTATTATTTTTTGAAATGTTGAGACAAGATAAACCATTAATCCAAGAATTACCAATCTCAAAGAAACCTAGAGCTCTCCTCGTTATAAAGCTTTAAAATATATATATACTAAAAGCCACTCTGGGATAGGAAATTTATATATTCTCATCTGAGTCTTCTGAAACTTTCCCCAACTCTTCCACTGAACCTCTTTTTTTTAATGAAACTTCCCTATATAGCTTGCTCGAGAACCCAATTTTTAAAATTTTATCTTGCAGAATGCCTTGTAAAGATAAGATAGTTTGAAAGGTATTTAGCTGAGGAAAACTGTACCAGATTAAAGGAGTCTAGGGAGATATGGCAGCAAATGCACTACATGACTCTGGACTGGATCCTGTACTGGAGGAGGAAGAAAGCCCTAAAGGACTTTATTTGCTCAGTTAAAAAAATTGGAAAATAGACATTAAATTAAAATATTGTGTAATTGTTAAATTTTCTGAAGTTAGTAACTATACTATGGTTATTTAAGAGAATGTTCTTGTTCTTAGCAGGTACACATTAAAGTATTTAGAGCTAAAAGGACATGATATATACAACTTACTCTCAAATGGTTCAGAAAATGTTTATATGCTAAAGAAAATGATGCAAATGTTAACAATTGGTGAATCTGGATAAAGTGTACATAGGAGTTCTTTGAAATATTCTTATACTTTTCTGGAAGTTTGAAATTATTTCCAACTAAAAAGTTTAAAGAAATGTCTTTAGCAGTTATGAAATAACCTGGAAATTACGTCCAAATACTGTTACTTTTAAATTACCATTTACTTCCATTAAAAATACACGTATAGTCCTTGTATTTTTTTCAAAGTGCTTTTTCACACAAACTCTGTTTACGTGGTGGTACTGTTATTGAATAGTATTTTTTTGGGTGTGGTTTATGATTAACTGTGTGGTCATCAATGCAGATGCTCTGTTCTATGATAAGTTTATGACATAAATATTTTATAAAATAGATTTAGTCATTTTATAGTAATGTGGAGATAAAATGAAATAGAACTTTAAAATGTAAAACCTGCTTTGCAAAGAGGTCTTTATGTTAACAGTATTCTTGCTGATTATCTCATCAATTATTTTAATCATAAGATCATAGTTAAATACCAATTAGTATAATTTAGAACTTTAAAATATCTTAGGTATAATATATTAAATTTTCATCTGTCCTGTACTTTTCTTTAATATAATGTTCACTTCAGCTAGTTTCATTAAAAATCTAAGTGTTCCTTTAACTCCATAAATATGCTTTGTTTGTTTTTAAAAGTGGATCTGATTTTATTATCTTAAATTTATTATATTTTGAAGGAAATTCAAGAACAAGGATCTATTATAGTGCTTCTCAAAATGGTATTAATAATTGCAGACGTTTTTTGAGCATTTACTTTGTGCCAGGTGTCATATTCTAAGCACTTTGCATTTAATAATTTATTTCATTTTCACAACCTTATGCTGACACCTTGTCTTGATTTGCTGTTTTCAGTTTTAACTAAAACTGAGCTTAGAGGCTAAACCTCAGGAGCCTCAAGTTTTCTTACCTCTTTTTGCCAGATACAAACTGCAGGAGCTAGTGATCTGGAACTTAATATAGAAAAATTGATTATATTTACATTAAGAAAAAATGCCATCTTAGAATTTTTTAGTTTATAAATTTGGGCTGGATCTAACTTCAAACTAGACTTTCTGTTGCCCTCGTAATATGGGAAGGATCCACATATCAAAACAATTCTTCAGTAATTGTACTGAAAAAGGAAGTGAATATGACTTTTAGTACCCAAGTAAGAGAAAGACTAATGTAGAAACCTAGTTCTATTAGACTTCAATTTCACCAGCAGGTAAAATGACCAAAAAAATTAAAAAATCAAGGTACTGATATAGTATTGCTAACTTTTTTTTTTAACTTTTTTTATTGAATTAAAACATGCTTATTATAAAGTGCATCAATCCTGAGTGTCATTTTGTTGAAATTTTATGAAGTCAACACTTGTTTAACCAATACCAAGATCAAGATATAGAACATTTTCCTCAGCCCAGGAGCCTCCTTCATGCCCCCTAGCAGTCATCACGGACTCCCAGAGGTAACTATTATTCTGACCTTCATTCACTATTCATTAGTTTGTCTATTTTTGAACTTCTCTTGTCGGTCTTTTTGATCAACATCTTGTTTATGCGAGTCATCCATGTTGATTCGTATGGCAATAATTCATCCTTTTTGATTGCTTTGTAATACATCATTATGTGTATACCACAATTTATCCATTCTGCTGTTGATGAACATTTGGATCATTATCAGCTTTGGGCTATTATGAACAATGCTGCTGTGAACATTCTTGAGCATCTTTTGATATACATATGTGTGCATTTCTGTTGAGGAAATTTCCAGGAGTGAAATTGCTGGGTCAGGGTAAATATTTGGCTGTTTAGCTTTAGTAGATGCTCCTAGTTTTCCAAAATGGTTGAATCAATTTACACTCCCACCAACAGTGTACAAGAGTTCTTGTTGCTCTACATCCTCACCAATACTTGAAATTATTAGTGTTTTTAATATTAGCTCTTTTGCTATATATGTAATGAAAATTTATTGTAATTTTAATTCATAATTCTCTGAAAACTTAAAAGGTTTAGCACATGTGTTTATATGCCTATTGACCATTTGGATATCCTCTTTTGAGAAATGCCTGTTCATGTCATTTGCCTATTTTTCTTTTGGGTTGTCTCATGGATTTCTAGGAGTTCTTTAACTATTTCTAGGATGTTTTTTGTTAGATTAAGTATTGAAGATATCTTTCCTACTTCACTCTTTTAATAGTATGTCTTAAGATTGTTTCTTAATTTTAATAAAGTCCATTTTATCAAACTATTCTTTTATGGTTAGTGCTTTTTGGGTTATAAGAAATCTTTGCCTATCCTAAAGCCAAGAAGATATTCTCGTGTGTTTTCTTATATAAACTTGATTGTTTTAACTTTTGCATTTAGGTTTATGCATGGTGTGTGGTAGGATTCATGGTTCATTTTATTTTCCATGGGAAATCCATTTGGTCAAACATTATTTATTTAAAAGACTATCCTTTCCCTACTGTAACGCAGCAATGGCTTTGTTGTAATTCAGATGACTGTTTATTTGTTGGTCTGTTTTTGTACTCTATTCTGGTCCATTGGTCTAGTTGTTGTGCCAGTGCCATACTCTCTTAATTATTGTAGCTTTAAATCCTCCAACTTTGTTCTTCAAAATTGCGTTGGTTCTTCTTGGTTCTTTGAATTTCAGTAAAAATTTTGTACTCAGCCTGTCAGCTTCCTAAATAAATAAATAATTCCCTGCTTAATATTAAGCAAGTTAAATATTATTTATTTAATATTATTATCGACTAGCTTAATATTGAATCTATAGATCAGTTTGAATATTTTGGACATCTTTCAATATTGAGACTTTGAATACATTAACTGTGGTATATGCCTTTATATATTTAGGCCTTTTAAAATTTCTCTTAGAAATGTTTTGTTATTTTGTGTGTGGAGGTCTTACACACCTTTTTAATGTATGATAATGATATTGTGGTTATGTTTTTTTAATATAATAGTCCTTGTAACTTATAGATTCATAATGGAGTATTTACAGATGAAATGATAGTTTTTGGGATTTGCTTCTAATAATACAAAGGAGGATGGGAAGGAATGGGGAAGGGGCAAAAAAGATGAAATAAGATGGACCATGATGTGATAATTGTTGGAAATGGGTGATGGATAGATGGGTTAATAATTATATTATTCTTTTTTACTTTTGTGTGTTTGAAATTTTCCGTAAAAATAGGTTTAAAAAATATGACTGCAGTAGATTGAAACACAAATGTATAAGACTCTAAAAGTTCAAAATAATACTTAAAAAACAAATTCTCATAGGCACCAGTTCATTACTCTGAAAATCATTGGTAAATGAAAGAATGAACCATTTAATCTTCTTGTTCTGCATGGATTATATTCCAGGATAACCAAATAGGTAAGAGAGAGAGTTTACCTTTATAGAGGAATTGCAGCTAATAAGAAATGCTGGGAGAGTGATAGGATTAGAAACTCACCATAGTGCAACTTCTTATGAAATAATGAATCTAGATAATGGTCAGTCAGTGACTACAAAAGCCATTAGGTGAAAGTCTGTTGGGAAATGGATATGATATAATACAATGGATAGGCCAAAATGGAGTAAGCCTATTTCTTGGACTGATTAGAACTAAAAACTCTCAGTAGAATATAAAAAGCAGCTATCTGAAGACTGAAAATTAATAATAGCAGGCACATTGAGAAGGGAAGTCAAAACTTGGAGAATAGTCTGTGTAATGGTGTTTACCTTTTTTTTCTTTCCACGACCCAACTTTGATCCAGTGGTGGGCTGTATTATGGAACTGCTCAGTGGGTATAGCACTTAGCAAAAACTCCAAGGGAAACCCCTATTTCTAGCCAGAGGACAAGGAAAGGGCGTCCCTTTTCTTTTTCTTTTTCTCTCTCAAGCCTGCACTAAGATGATCTCCACCTGTAAAGTTGCATTACCGTGGTGGCACAAGAACTTTAAACCCTGAGAGAAAACCATTTCTCTGGCCAGAGGAATTGGGAAAGAGGCCACCGGAAATTGGAGCATGCTGGGGAAATCTCAGAGGGGAGAGAGCTGATGTGAGAGGAGATTCCCTAATTGTGAGTATGAACCCACAAAGGTCCTACCTCACTCATGAGTTACACATGCATGGAACGGACCCAAAGAAACAGCAAAGATTTAGAGAACTGAACTATGATATAAACCACTGTTCAAATCTCAGCCTTGCCCCTGAATGATGCATGCAGAGGATAAACCCACATAACATCGTGAAGGCTTTGAAAAATGAACTGACATTGGAACTACCACCCACAGAAGGCAACATAGACTTGTAGTCTAAACTTAAACCAAAAAATCAAATTCTCCAGGAGATGTTATTAGAATCTAAAGTTTCATAACTAATATCAGAATGTCTAGGATATAATCCAAAATTACTTGATGTACAAAGAAACGGGAGAATCTGATAATTTTTTAAGAGAAAAGACGATAAACAAATGCCAACCCAGATGATGGATTTATCAGAAAAAGACTTTAAAGCAACTATTATATCCATGCTCCATGAGGTAAAAGTGAGTACTCTTGAAAGAATGGAAAGATAAATCTCCTCTGAAAAATAGAAACCATATAAAAGAATCAAATGGAAATTTTAGAACTGAAAAATATAATATATGAAATACAAATTTACTGCATAGGCTTAATAGCAGACTTGAAGATAAATCAGTAGAAATCTCAAATCTTGTGTCTTCTGTATCAGGGGTATGTCTCCGTTCTATAATACTTGTTTAGTCCAAATTGCACCCTGTGAAACCTGGTCCTAGGCCTTCTGGCTGTGAATTAGTGTGCCATTTATACATCCTCTCTTAAATCCTTAATTACTCCTACTTGCATGCTGCGAAGAAAGATGTGTCTGTGCAGTTTGAGCCCCATCTCCCTTGCTACTCCACAGATTCAGATAGGGTCTTGGCCTACTATTTTCCCAGACCTTGTCATTTCAGGTAAGGATCAAGCAATCAGGCAGTGGGTTAAAAAAATATTAGTCAACTAAGGAACTAAATATACCCATGTATATTTATTTATTTGAAAGTAAGTAGGGATAGAGATAAAAGTGGAAATGGATAGCAAATATATATATGTCATATATTGCAAAATCGTACAATTTAAAGGGAGTAAATTTTATCTCAAATATAAAGTATAGATATAATGATTATTTTAGTGAAGAAAAAATGCTTTATGGTAGTTGTTTTCTGAATAATCTGTGGTTCAGGATGCATCTAAACTTATTTGAACTAGTTTTCAGATGTTGTGAACTTGCTTGGCCTACTTGGCTACACAAAAGCAACCTGGCAGTTTAGACAAGTTTTAATATGTCAAGACAACTGTCTTTTTTATGAAGTGATTACACTGCAAAAAGAGGAATACTTGTGGCCTTGAAAATTGACATATTTTTAGTGGTATTTTATATGAGTCAAGTGGTCTCATTGATGAAGTATATATAATATATCAAAACTTTGTCATTATATTTATACATATTAGTTGTAATTAAAATATCTCATGAACTAACCCTAAGCCTAGTATTTTCATAGTCCTATATTGCCAGTTAAAAAAAATGCTTGTGTTTTTATTTTTGTGGTTTTGAATCAAGCAGACCACATGCTATCCCAGCTTATGTGAGATGTAGAGGGATAAGGTGCTTGAATTTGAGTGTATGGAGGGACGTGTGCTTCTTTGTAATGTTGAGTTCTAGAGTAACTCCAGGGGAGTGAGAGGGAGGTAGGATGGAACACAGGATTGTTGGAGGAGAGGAGATCAAAGAACTGACTGGCCAAGAGGTTGGGAGGATCATTTATGTAGATATTAAAATCCAAAAACAATGACAAAAGAGGTATCAGAGAGAAGAACAGCCCTCGGGGAATGAGAGGGCTTGTTCTGGGGGTTTATGAATGGTTACAACAAGGAGAGGAAAAGAGCTGATGTAGTCCGGAGGCGCGAGATTCAAAGCTAGGGATTTTAGGGAGGGGAGAAAAGGGAATATGGGAGAGAAGAACAGCCATCATTTGAAAGAACTGGAGCTACAGCAGAACTCCTACAGGAGTGAGGTTTCAGTTGCTGCAAGGAAGGTGAAGAGAGTGTGCAGCAATAGTGAGGAGACAGGATATTTTGCTAACGATATACTGTGAGTTCCAGAGGCCATAGTTAAAGGATTTTGGAAATTGGGCAAGGCAAAAGGGATCAGTGTAGGAATACATAGGGTATATAGGGACAAAAGTATATATATGGGGATGTATGTAATGGGGGAGGACCTGGGAGTCTTAGGCCTCTCCTGGTGACTGATATAAAAGGAAAGTAGGGCATAATGGGATTAATCTTGATTATTTCATAGGCAGATTATTGTAAATATTGAGGGAGAAAGCATTTGGGAAAGGCAGATTCATCAAGAGCAGCTAGAGATTTTGGACCTCTATTAAATTTCTATAGCTGCCATACAAATTACCACAA